GTATTTTCAAATCACTAGCTATGCCCGCCGCGGTGTGGAAACAGCACGGAATATTCTATCTTGCAAAAACTCAAGGAAAAGGGGGGCGACGCCGTAGGGCAGACGGAGAAAGCTAGAAGAGATCCATTGAGTGGGAACAGTCGTCGCGACGAACGGGGGGCCGCAGGTGGTGGAAGTGGACTTCTCAGCTGCGTGAGGATGGTTGCCGAAGGGTCCTGTGTGAAGCCACTGTCAGGCATGGGGCAAGCCTGTTGACCCGTTGCAAAGAGAGGGGGAGTGCGAGACAACCGGCCTGATGACATGGGTGACGTGGGAACCACAGTCTGAGTGACAACAGATTTGAATTGCGTCAGCTTTCTGTCCCGCACTTCTTCCTGGTTTTCCAGTTGCTTGTGCTTTGTTGAAAAAAACAATGAGTGAATGGAGCTCGAAGTGCAATTCACGCACCTGTCTCACATTTTGCATCCAGCATTTTTGGCCCTCACATACAGATAGTAATCGCATTGTGCCGTCAGCCGAAAGGTGTGCACCTGCCTCTGTTTGCCAAGATAGACTCTACCTTGTGTGACACTACGTTTGAAGTGATAGGAGTCCTGAGTTGAGAGGCGTCGCAGCTGTCAACGTTTGACTTAGGCTAGCCCGGCTGATGTAGAAGTGTCATGGTGAAAAACTGACGGACATGTGTGTTTTTCGTCGTGCTTCGTCAAGAATCAAGGAATCAAGTCGGGTTTTGTTTTTTGTCCAAGAGATCTTTCGCCTCTTTTCAGAATGCTGGCATCTGCACTTGAACCAATCGAGATTTGATGTGGAATGTGCTGCATAAGTTGAGTGCCTCATATCAGCATTTGCAACTATATAAATGCATCTAACAACATAACAACCGTTGTAAATTGCGCATACCGTAGATTGTATACATAAACTAGTCCTCTGGAAAGTGTGGAAAGCAAAGCAAGTGAGATCTACAACTTCATCGCCACCCTGGAACCCAATGCGTCTAGATCTCTAGACCGTCTGTTTCTACACCTCTAGTCTAAACCTTAGACCTTAAAACGCTCTGTTTGCGGCTTCTTGCCAAGAAAATAACCTCTTAGAAGATCCCCCTGTGCATTTCCACTATGGAATGGCAGTGCTCAAGCCCCTATATAGCTATGTTTTTTATATAAAAATCGTGTCCCATGATGACCTCGTGTGCTTGCTTAAGGAGTGTTCAAAAACCACCTGTTGGAATGTCCTGGTGCAGAGACCCTTTTGTGTCGGTCCCTTCGTACATCATCGCAGGCGCCACCGCCACGCACGCCGCACTCCCCGCACTCGCCGCGGCGGCAAACCGTCGCACTGGCGCGACGGACGCTCACACCCAGTCCAGGTGGGGTGGTGGGCGGTTTGGGCACATGAAGTCCGTGGTCTATAGGCTTCAGGATTTACCGAAAACCAGGTAGATGGAATGATATTGAATGGAATTTTAGATCTGATCTTGGGTTAGACACCTTTGTCCATCTTCTTCTCCGGTCTTCTTGGCGCTCTGGAAACTCTACCGGTCTGATGACATTGGGTCGAAACTCTACCGGTGAACCACCGAGTAGGATTAAATCCCAAAGCACCGAACTGTTTTACTTGAGGATCTAACGCTACATGTCGTTCCCCATTCGTTGAACGGACTTCCAGGGCGGTGTCGCTGGTCCAAATCTAGGAGCCCATCCTGCGGATTTGAGGACATTTATTGAGGAAACTTCATGAGGATCCAATGTATTTAGCATTACTTAGTTTGTTTGAAGTTGAATTGAAACCTACTATGTTGTTGGAACGGGATGTTTCTTTTTGCACAATTGTTGTCAATACTTGATATTGTCAGAATTTGCATGAATGTTAATGTTCATCCCGTGGCGGCCATGATGTTCGATACAACTTTGGTTCAGGAGTGGGGCGAGTCGAGTTGGAGCCTGGGCGGTTCCCGAACGAAAAGCCTGTTCATCAACTGAGATCATGATCTTCCGCTGATCTTCCGCGTTGCTTGCAGCAGGGTATGGTATTATTCTATCGGAAATCCCTATAAGCAACTCATTTCACCCAAGGGCACAGCCAACGAACATCTGCGGTTTCCTGGGGGGGGCACTTTGAGGTCAAGTGGGTTGAAAACCAGCGATGTGAACGGCACATTGATAGAAAAAGACCATGTTTGGGGTGGTTGGTGGTCCAAAATTGGGGTCATTCAGGTTCTATAGGTATGTATATCTTGATGTGGCCTTTCGGCTGCCCGTCACGTCAATTTCCCATCCTATTCGATCGGTAAGACTCGTTGGATGGGAAGACACTCCCCATGCAGGCATGTTTTGATCTTCCACCTGTTTGAGCTCGGAAAGGACCCAACCCCTTTGTGGCCGGGTGCTTTGCACCCTCAGTTTTGTTAGGATGTTGGGACCGAAGCAACATGTGTAGCAATTCTTTTTCCAGATCCAAATTCCTTTGGGAGAGTGCTTTGTTGCTATAATGACGAGTGGTTCCAACCACTTGGTGGGTCGTCATCGACGAAACTGCGTGAATTTGCGAACCCCTTTGAACCGCCAGGGCGGCAATCGAATGCTGTATATGATGCTTGGATGGCGTGAGTTGGGTGCCACCAATGTTGAGGAGGGGATTGTTTCTTGAGGACCCACAGCACATGTCGGGCCTCCTCACTGCTACTTGGTGTTGCTTAAGGTGATTTTGGGTCTTCCCTATGAGTACATCCCCTCCTGGGATGTTCTTTTAGTTTTTTCCAGGCCTGATAAGGACCCAAGGATGCCTTCCCAGGGCTATATCGAGGGTTAGTGCTAGGAGAGTGGTTGGGCAGGCCCCAAAGTCTACCCAAGGATGTTTGCTCTCGCAGTTCTTTGACATCAGAGACTAGTCCTCGTGTTACTGTTGATGGCACCACCCAGCTCACCATCCAAACATGGTAAACAGAGTGGTAAACAGGTGATACCAAAGTTTCTCTTCCATCAACAGCAGGACTGCCTTTGTGTTTTGTCACAAGCGACTAGTGGTAGGCCAACACCTGTATTGAACCGAACCTGTGCCAGCACCACGGAGTCCTGGTGGTTGATAGACGGCGATGTATGTATCTTCCAATCACCACCCTTTCCTTCCGTGCTGGCGACCAGCTGCTGGTGAGTTGCCACTGGTGTTGTGGGATTCTGCAGCTTTCTGGTGCTGGTTCTGGAAGAGCTCCCAATTCTGGTCAGCCTTCTTGGACTCCCAACAATTGGACTCCCAGAACTAATCGTGGAAGTGGGAAATGGTCCTTTGGATGACCATGAAATCCTCTATGTACGCGTGGGTCGTCGAACAATCCAAACGTGTTTTCATAAACGATTGTGTGTTCGAAGGAATTGATTTTTTGAGAACAACATCTGAACAGAATCTGCAGGCTCCAACGACCTCCGTTTCCACGGTCTTTGGGAAGGTATACGACTGAAGCCTTTAAAGAACGGGTGTGTCTTCAATTGTCATGTACACTCAGTACTACTGTTAGCACACTTGCTTGCCACCCCTCCATCCGCCGTCCGTATCCGCCAGTTCCCCATCAACATCGGCCCCAAGGACTTGGAAGCCTTTTGGCCCTCCAACTTTGGCACCAAGATGATGCTCAGCCACCGCAACGCTGCTCGACCATCGCCACGTCGACGGACCTGGGGTTCGCGTCACGAAGGGCGAGGCGCAGCGAGGCAGAGGGATGGATTCCGGTAAGGCATGGGGAAAATTACGGATTTCCTTTTGACATGACATGGAGACATGGCAACATTCGTTTTTTTTGGCCTTTGCTGTTTCATGCAGTCGGCGACGTGCAGTGACCACCCCCAGCTTAGCGTGAGGCAGGCACAAGAACAACCACCCCCGAGTTAGGGTTTCCAACTTGCTTTCATGTTAAGGGTAGACTTCCGACCCACATGAAAAAACTTCCATAACTTTTCTGCAACTTTGTCATGATTGACCAGCTGCACTTTCCTCAAAAGATAAAAGGTGGGGTTGTGGAAGCCCAACTTCTTCAGGCCACCCCTTTGACACACCAAGGGTCCAATGTTGACAAAGGTACCCAACCATTTAGAAAAATGGCACAAAGACCCTCAATTGAGAACTGAGGTCAGTACGAACAAGATCTGCACGAATCGATTCATCGCGCATCACAAACGCAGACCGACGAAGTCGAGTCTTCTTCTTCAAGGACCTATCACCGGAGTCAAACGATACCGGTTGACAACGCAAAGGAGATGTTTTCATCTCCAACACACTAGTCACTAGTCTCAACATTCAGCCATCTCACGTTTCGGCACCAATCAACAAACAGTTTGGTGAATCTTTCACCAAAAGGAAATTCAGGAAAGTCCCCCAGATCTGTATGGTCAAATGGAAAAGTGCCCTCACCAAGATGGATTTCGGGTGTTGTTGTTGTTTCTTTCTCCGGCGCAGGTGGCGCCACCCATCGCAGCTTCAGGTTTGGGAGGAAAAGAGGACCTGCCGGTTCCAGAGAAAAGGACCCGAAGCAATGCATTTCCACCCCCAAGACCATCACAAAGGTAGCCAGTGACCTTAAGTGACCTGAAGGAACGGACCCGTCACCAGGGGTAACCCAACATCCGGAGAGTCGAACGACGTCGGGTTCTTCAACCTCTCCAGAACGTGGCTTCGACCGGTGAGTGACGCCTGCATCGAACCCAGAGGGGGTCGGGACGCCGGCATCACCCAGCGTGTTCGGGTGCGGGCAAGACCCAGCTGGTGAGTTCGTGTCCGGTGATTCTAAAAGCTCAGAGAGTGCTACCACCCAGCTTGAGTGGTGATTGGATGGAACATACATCCTCAGGGGGGGGTGGATCAACCATCCCAAGCTGGGTGGTGCCAAAGTCGACAACTGTTGGGACCATTTTCTCCATATTTCTCCCAAACAAAAGTCGAAGTTCCACAGTGCCTTGGCACTCTCCATCACGACGTTTCCGCTTCGCTTTCTTCTCCACCCCTCCAAACCAATGGTCCCGGTCCGGTTTCACGGTCGCGCTCGTGGCTCGTGCCATTGGGTGGCTCGCGGCTCGCAGGTTATGTACAACAATCTTGGAGGCCATGGCCCTGTATTCTCCGATCCACCAGCCACTGGGCATGGAGTGAGCCGCGCTTTCTTTTTTTTGTCACCATATACGCAGCCGGGGGTTCTGATCCTTACTTGGCCCAGGTCCATGAGTGGCGTTTTGTGGTGTTTTCCTTGGCTCAAAAAATCCTCCAGGAACTATGTACATTGGATCGAGCCTTGTTTGCCATTTTCTTTTGTACCTTAGATCCAGTGGGAAAAAAGCGATGCCCAATGTCTTCAGGTCTCCCATGAGCAAAGCGTTTTCGCCTGTGAAATGGGTGAAGAAGCCGAAAGGGCATTGACTGAACTCCACAAAGAGTTGATTCAGATGAATAGGCCGAGGATGGCCCATAGGCCTATACCCAGACGCTCCATGCTGTATGCCATATATGCCTACATTGGCCCCCCAAACCACCCCAGTGTAGGCAAATATGGCATACATGGAGCGTTTGGGATAGGTACTTCAAAAGATCTTGCCCTATGTTGCGCATCCTTTGGGCTTTAGAGTGAGCCGGCCATCCAAACCATCCAGGGCTGGACAGAATATATCAGACCTCCATCATCCGTTATCGAACAGAGTTAGTGTCCCAGTACGTCCCAGTCATGGATAACACTAGAGTCCCCATCTAGAGTCTTCCATCAAATCGCTTTACCATGTGCTTGGCATCCATTTCATGGGTGTTCCATTTTTTTGGCACCACACTGTTAGCAAACTGGCATGTTTGCTTACATTGGGGTGCTTGTTTAGGGTCCAACTGATCGGCTTATATACCATACATGCAGTGTTTGGTCTTTTGGTCTCTAGAAGATCGTAGAAGATCCTATCGGCACGACTTAGGACCTAAAAGGCATACATAATATACATACATACATACATACCCAGACGCTCCATGGGACTGCCATATATGCCTACATTGGCACCCGAAACCACCCCAACTGATCGGCATATATGGCAGTCCCATGGAGCGTCTGGCATATATTACTCGGTGCTTCTAGGTCAGGTCTGTCCTCCACCTTTTCTTCCTTCTTTCCGTTGGCCCCGTCGAACTCCGAGGTGATCCGCTATCGCGGCGCCTGCTTTCACCATGGACGACCGGTGGATGTGGTGTCCGAGATGAGATGTGGACGATCGTCACCTCGTGGTGTGAAGGTACCTCTTGTGGGGGTGTTCTCCAGAGAAAGATGGACTGAAACGAAAGCGGAACCAAGAGAGGTTGAGAGACCAGAACTAGGACCCTGGTCTGTGGTATATATGGGATGGGCCAAAAAGGGCTGTGAACAACATCTCTCTTGGAAAGGTGAAAAGGCGAGCGGAGACAGCTCCAACTGGACCCAGCGGTCTCGCGCGTTCAGTTTTCATCCTGTGGAGTCACGACGAACTGAAGAGGCCAGGCCCAAGGTGCACCGACCTATAAGAAGGAATTGGTCCCTGTCACTGGGATGCGGTCCTTTCATGTCCTGGAACTACGAACGTGACCAGTGTGTTGCGGAGGGCTCGACAGAAAGCTCCGACATTTGGGATGAGGTGAAGGTGGGTGAGTGTAATAATACTAATATTAATATAGTAATGTGATACACTCCTTGGAATTGGAAGTGGCATGGAATCATTCATGAAGAATATATGAATACTGTTGGTTCCCCGCAGAGTTCTGCAACTTGGTCTCAGCTGTCCTTGGAAGCGGAAGCATTTCAGGCTTTCTCGCGCCGGCCTTGCTCCGATGAATCATGAAGCCAACCTGAGTTTGTGTGTGTGTGTGTGTTAAGGGATGTGAAGAAAAGGGTATGCAGTATGATCGACCACGATGTTGAAGCCACAGGTATAGTAAAAACATGTAAAGACCTTATTTATAGCTCCCTTGCAGTAAACACTAAATACCACAATGGATTCAACAGAAGGTCGATGACAGGACAATCTCCCAGAAACTAACTTGGAAACTGACTATGTAGGCTTTTTCGGGGAACACTGTTTTGGAGGAAGTTCATGGGGAACATCCATGTCACTGGCATCGACTCCTCGATTTGTTCCATGTCAGGGGACATCAATCATTGATCGCCCTTGCGTGTTCTTTCTCGTGGTTCGCTTCCTGCTGACATGAGGTGCTCCATGCTGACAGCAGCTACCACCCTGCGGCCAGTGGCTTGAATGCCCTTCTGGGGCATCACTACAGTGCGTCCGTGAACGTGCCTTGGACGTCGTGTGCGTGCGACGTGCCTTGGACGTCTCGCCGTGGACGTTGTTCGGCATGTCATACAACCGGACGCCTGTTGGGACGACGCTGTTGGGGATGAGATGGTGAGATGGTGGTTTCTCATTCAGAAATTGGTGCCCGAGAAGCAGTGAGGGTCGTAGGGTTTAGTGGTCGACGGCGTTTTTGCTGAACCGTTGGCCAGTCGGTGATTTGGGGCAGCAGTTTGCTGAGGTGATTTGTGACCATGACCCAGGACCTAGTTGGTACGCCCAGCCAGCTTTCTGGACCAATATTGATTCACTGGTGTTGCCGAACTGTAACATTGAACAACCATTTTTTTACCAAGCTACGCTACAAAACCAGGTCAACCATTTTAACATTGGTCTTGGAAGGCTCGGCTAGGGTGTGAGAATCTCTTGCAAGAGTCAACCAGTGGGAGGACCATACGAAAAGGAGGTACCTACCAGCACCCGTCACTGCCAGGTCACCAATGGTTTGACTGTTTGGGCCCTTCCCAACCCTCTAGCCGAGGAGACCGGAGTCGGGTGCTGGTATGACATACGTTCCCTAGGGATCCACTGCCACCTTCTCAGAAGTTAATTGGACCCTCCTGGCGCCTACGTACTTAAATAGTCTCCCTGCTCACCGTACCTCAGGTTCGGTGGCAGTGGATCCATAGGGGTTGTATGTACATCAACATTGGGATGATTTCAGATGTCTTGAGGGTCTTTCTGTATGTCAAATGAGGTACAGGTAGAAATATGTCACTTGAACCAGCCGAGGGGCCCTGGGTGGTACCAGAAACTGAGAAATCCTTTCTTTCTCAACTACCCAGAGTTTAAACCTGCATCCCAAAAGGCACAACTTCACCTTCTTCACCTCAAAACGCTCCATTCACTTCACCCCTCCTTTCACACCCTCCGCTCAGTCCTTCCTCATTTCCCTTCCCGCCGCTCCGGACGGCCGCTCTGGACGGCCCACCGGGCTGCAGGTGGCGCTCAATGGCACGGTGCACTTGACCCTCGAGCTGCGTTCCCAGCAGGCGCCGTCCCCGGCGCGCGCCGCATACGCGCAGACGCGGAGGGAAGGACGTGCCGCGCCTCCGTTTTGGCGAAGGAAGGAGGACCGTCCGGGCGTGGTGGTCTTCTTTATTTTTGTTGGGTTTCTTGGGCCTTATGTCATATGACATGCTGTGAATGCTGTGGGTGAAAAGCAGATGAACAGAAAAACATTGCGGGCAATTTAGTTCGGTTCTTTTGTTAGGATGTCACTTCGAAGTATGAGAAGCATAAACGGCATCTAATTTATCTAGCTTGAGACGTGTCCTACTGGGAAATAGCTGCAAAGACATCGGCAGGTATGACTCATTTTCCTGCTCAACAAAATGCTCCCAAGGTCACTGTTTGCAACGGCCGATTCACTTATTAACTATTCACCCTTCATCAGCGCTACTAGATATGCTTTTACAATCTTTTGTATGGACATGCCCGTTTCACACTATCGGATAAGGCGATCGGATATTCACTGCTCACTCCTTAGAACCATTAGACCATTTAATATGTTCTTTTTCTGCAGTGGTTTTGATTTGTCCCTTAAGGCTCCAACTACCTCCTGAGGTTCGGTGGTTAGGGTGGGTTTGGAGGTCTAACCGCCTTCCGAGGAGATGGGACTGGAGCCCTATCAAACTTCGCCGGTTCTGACACAGCATGCGAGTCAACCGAAGCAGAATGGACACATTTTACAGGACACCCATCCCCAGACGCTCCATGGGACTGCGAGTCCGGACTGCCTTCAAAACAGCCAGGGATGGTGGACCTAGGGGGCCTTTCTGGGGCGGCAGTCTGGCAGTCCCAGATGGCGGTGGCGTCGATCTAAACCAATCCATTGAAACCGGCCCTCCGCCGTGCAGAAGCCCTTGCCTCTCCCACGGCTCTATGTCTCCGTGGCGGATTCCGAGGAGTCGCGGACGGGGGCGACGTGACGGGTGGCTTGGACCGTTCGCCAGCAGGCGAATTAGTTTTCTACCAAGCAACCGTGAGAATCAAAAAAGCAATCTGCTGACTTGCTCAATTGTGCTCAGTAGGGAATGAGCGAGCGAACAAGAGATGCATAATGTAGACTCTTTATTAAAACACTACCCCCGTATGAAGAGGATGTTCAATTCAAATGGCTGGGGTTATGGTCCTGCCTTATTCCCTCCGCACCTATGAGTCACCCACTGCTTTAAATGGGAACACCAAACGCGTGAACAAAAAGGCGTGACCTCTTCTGGCGGGTCTTGCCCACCACCACCGGGCCGCTCCCGCTCTCGTTCGCCCGTGCTTTCGTAGGAGAAACCCAAGCTGTCGGGCGCCCACGAAGTGGCGGCACCTGGCTTTGAGGCCAAGCCCCTCCATCCCGGGGGGGGAAATGGAGGATGGATTTAGGGAGTCAAGCAGTGACTGGATCGGCAGATCTCGACAGAGGAGACGGTTGTTTTGAGAATGTTTCAGGAGCACCCCAACATGCACCGGAGAAAAGGACCCCAAGCACTTGTTGCGTGCTGAGCTGGAGAGGGTTTGTGGCTTTTCGGACAGGAGGACCTCCTCCATACAGCTTCACGGGCTTGAGGGCCACCCTGCTGTTCTTCATGTGCTTTCCTGCTCGTTCGAGGGGAGGGTATTGCCAGTCGACCACACGAATGAGTTTCGACGAGCGCAGACATGTGCAGACATGTGCTGGGTTTGGTTTCAAACATGTAACATATCCGCATATCTGCGAAAAAACTGCGGGAGAATCTGCAGTTGTATTGGAAATTCTTCCCCCTAGCCGCCCACCCTAGAGGAGGGAACCATTTTTAGAAGCATCATGTGATCCCCTCCATGGCACCAATGATTCGACAAGGCGGGCCCTACCCCAGCAGCAATAGAATGATTGGAAGTGTTTTAATGTCCGTATCAATTAAGAAAAGCTATATATCTCATATATAGACTGTTCATTCAAGAAGACCACCCTACCTGGGCTATACTTGGGTGGTAAACCTTGCTCCATAGTATGGTCTTCTTCCACCGGTCGGTTTTTCTCTTCCGACTCGTCGGCACTTTCGCTCGGTCGCAGGCTGCCCAGCTGCCTTCCGGCACTTGGAGCAGTGCCGCGCAACTGGGCGAGGAGCGGGAGCGGGACGTGACCGTCATGAAGCAAGACCGGGACGAAGACGATCGACCAGCGCCGTTGTTCTTTCTTTGTTTTACCGTGTTTGGACCTGAAGACGAGGCGGACAAAAAGGAGTCCACCAGCTTTAAGAGCGTTTAAGTGGGGTCTATGGCATGTCATGGACATTCCATACATCAGTATCAATTTACAATAATTTACATCGACTGTGTGACGGTTTTGTTGAAAGGGTTTCTTTGCCTTTCTGTAACAAATCTCAACCGATCTCAACTACCATGGTGGACCAACATGGAAGATCTATATTCTTTCGGGTTGTGGCTCAAAGACTCAATGGTCAGAACAGTTTAAACCCGGGCTGACAGAAGAGAGTTCTTGCCTTGTAGGACTTTTGGGCATTAATGCACCTGGCACACAAACCTCATGGCACCTACATGTCATGTGTTTCCATGTGTTTCCTGAAAAAGGGGCCACACAGATGGGGTGAGTTGTTCGCCAGAGGTCATCACACATCTCCTCTAACAAGTTGGGTGGTCATCTGACTGGGGCTTCAAGTCGGGTCCAAGCGCGGGTTCGGCTTGAGTTCTTGCCCCAGGGCCCCCAGTGCTGGATTGTCAGTGGACACCCTAGCATGGCATGGTCTTTCATTCCGTGTCAATTGACGTAGGTTCAGGTCACTCTACCAGGTGATTCTGCTGAGAAACGCATTCTGCGGAGAACAATTTGAGTCTCAAAACGTCCAAAATCTCATAAAATCTCACAGAAACATCCAGAAACGTGTGCCCGCCCGCCCTGGTCATCTAGAAACCTGCTGTTCATCATCTCAAAACTCAAGATTGTTCCCTACTGGTGCAAAAACCCAGTAAAACCTGGTCCAACTGACCTTATCGAATAGTTCTTGTACCTGCAACCTCGTGGTTGTTTTTTTTGGTCGGTAGTTCAACATGTATACAACATCCGCAACCAAAATAAACATCCGCTTAACACACATAATAACAATTAAAAACATGTTAGCCAACAAAAACATAACGCCTGTGGCTGTGGCTCATCAATAAACGCCCGTAGCTTGTGTATAAACACCCGTGGAATATCAGAAAAGAATCAGAACACTAAAGAAACATCCACGGACTCAAATATAAGGCCGTGACTCCAAAAGATGTTCCTCAGGCTGCAGTTCAAACATCTAAATACTCTGAGGAAGTTCCAGGTATGACCAACACCAGTGACATGAGGTCGAACTGACCGGCTGACCGGGATTGTTTTTGTTGGTCTTTGACATAGGATGAAACTCTGTTTTATGAAAAACCTCCAAATCGCGAATCTTCGGGTCAACGGACCTGCTTTTAGACGATTTCCTCCGACACAAAACGTCGCAAAACGTCGCAAACATCTTATCTCCGTCACTGTTCAACTTGCTCTATTTGTGTCCTATAACACAGAATTGAGTTGGGCACGCCAGCCATAATATTTGATGGTTGGTCATGTATGGCTGCCATTGCTCAACACAATAGTAAGGCTCCGCATCTGTTTTTTTAGAAACGCCCAACGTCGCTCGCTCGCCCCTCCGCAGGACTGGAGCGCTCCGGTCTCCGCGACGCCGGCGATCTTCACCTTTTGGAACACCGCCACCGTCCGTTTGACGCTGCGAGCGGTGGTCAAGCCAGGCGGGTCGTGAGGGTTGGGGACAGCGTGTCATCGAGGGTTGGGCTCGCCAGGGACCCCCACCCCATGGCGGTCAGTAGACCTGGAGACCGACCGGTTGACCAGCCAAAATGAGCAGAATGGACGACCGACCGACAGGAGGTCAACCTATGGAGAAACGGGTTCCGGGTGCCATGACGGTGATGCTTCTTTCGAAGCTCTTGGAATCCCCGCTTCAGCCGGGGAAGAGGGTCTTTTTGGTCACCGGTGCCTGGACCGCAAAATCCAAAATGGATGATAGCATCTCTGGGATGATAGACAAGCTCACGCGCTCGTGCCTGCACCTGCCTTTGGCATTTGAATTGGCCGTTGGTCGACAGCTGAACATGATATGCATGTGCACAGTCTAGGTCGACAAGACCAAACCGCGGTTTGCTGAGCGACACTGCTGTAGCTTCCGCGATGAGCAGCTGTCGTGACTCGTGACTGATTCTACCTCATGGCATGGCGACAGGGTGCTGACAGGGCACGGCTAGTCAGCAGTGGCATGGAAAGTCATTTAGGATGTAATCCCGCGCGATAGCCATCCCCAAAGGGAAAGCTATGAAAGTAAGTGAGAAGAGGAAACTGGAGGCAAGAAAGTGTGAACTTTCAGGAAGCATGCTTGCCAACATATGAGTTTTGTGATTGTATTTTGCTGAAATTGGCTTTGTTGAGTTGGAATCTGTTTCAATATGCAATCGGATTTCATAAATTCACAAAACATTTAAATATACTGTAATATAACATGTTACAAAACAGTCAATGTTTATTGCGTCGGGCTTATTGAAGCTGTAAGCGCACTGCTTTGGAATGGGGTTTGCCAGCTAAACCTGCCTATGGAACAGGCTCTTTTTCGAAATAGTTTTCCATTATTCAGTTTCAATATTTTTTTGATATTCCTCTACTCGTATAAGAAATACACCTGCAAAAATACGAGCAAATTGTTTCAAACCAACCGTATTTCACCACCGAAAAGTTCTGGCATGCATCCTCGACACCAAACAAGACAACAGGAACAGTTCCCGCAAAAAAGAATAAACAACGATCCTCAAAGTATGACTTGTTGAAAAGTCCTGCAGAAAAAAGAAAAAGATTAATATCCTGATGTCGGGCGACTTGTTTTCTTTTTTCTTCAACTGTCTTTCTTCCACCGACAAACACACATTGTAAGCGTGTTTCACGAATGGCGGCACCACCAACACAGGTTGTCGTGACCGCCTAGGACAGGTAACCGGGGGTACCCAACTGGGATAGTCGAACCGCACCGGGTTCGCTCCCCACCCAACTGGCATCGTTTGACTGCACTCAACCGGCGAGGCTCCGCGCTCTTCAGCGAGGTTGGAAGGAGTTTCTTCATCTCCTTATGGTCCCCCGATGTGGATGCCTCTTGGAACGATCGGTCGAAGACTCTCGATCGGTTTGATTTTGGGACTCTTATTATAGGTTGCGTACAGGTTGGAGGCTTTTGGTGTGTTTGGTGTGTTGATGATTGGTAGTAAGATTCAGTAAGTACAGGGTACGGTAAAACACATGTAAACACATTTCTTATTGGGGCTCGGGCTTGGTAAACTTTTCTCCTCGAGTTTCAGAGGACGGGATCAAGGCATTTGAAGACCCGTCGTCCAGTTCAAGATGTGTGTTTTGTTCAGCCCTGGAAAAGTGATGGCGATTTTGGTCGAGGATATTTGAGCCCTGCAGTGCACTTTGGAAGAGTTTGCAAACTGATGAGACCCTCAGAGAGGGACTCCGACCCGGACCGAGTCCGACCCCGACCCCGACCCGACCGCCGCTGCGAGACAGGCGGGACCGGTGCCGGCTCCTCCTCCTCGGAGCTCCGTGCCGGACCGGGCGAGGTTCGAGCCACGGGCAGCAGCGGCATCACCAGCGAAAAGGTCCAACTGGGAAGCACCGCGAAGCGCGCTGGAGGCGCGGGGAAGCGGAACCCGCCGCGCGGGTTGCGGAACGCGGAACGAGGCCCAGAGAGTGGGAGGATCCAAGGCGGTTCTTTTGGGGAGGTCGTTGAGGTATTGCAACTAGCTAACAAGAAGCTACTAGTAGCGAAGCACTTGTCACTAGTAGCATAGCTTCTTGTTACTAGTAGTTAGTATATAATGGCCTCCAACCTAATAGCGATGGCCTCCACCCTACTAAGGTATGAAAGAGCTTTATGACTCTATGTGAAGAAGTTTCTTTGAACAGTAGTGAATTCAGATTCTCATTCACCTCACGAACTCATCAATCCATGACATGTATTGCATTTAACTTATTACCCTACAGGCCAAAGACCTCGCTTTGCTGGAGTCGGTCATATAAGATCTTAAAAAAATACACAAAACCCTATGGATCCACATACCTTCTCAGAAGATATTTGGACCCTCCACGCCGACATAAATACTCTCCCTCACCTTCTCAGGTTCGGTATGTGGATCCATAGGGAAATAAACAAACATTATGAGATTCTCAGGACCATAAGACCAGGACACTGGGTCAGACTAAGGTTTTCCAGTGCATCCCAGGCAAACCACGAGTACTAAGGAACCAGGGATTCGTTCGGTCTATGGTTTTAGTCGAACTGGAACCACTGGGACTCCCAGCTATAGTGGTTTGCCTGGATGCTTTGGGTTTGCCTGCCATTCAAAGAGATTTTTAGGACCAGCTTGTCGCGGTCCGTTCCGCTGTGTAAAGACGATGAGAAGTGAACGGGTGACGCTCGTGGAAGCCACAGTACCTGTGTGTAAGACGGTATGGAAGCCACAGCAAGACCATCCAAGAGAAAAACAAAACACATACAAACGGTTGGGTCTAGTGTTGGGTTTGTCCTATTACCCGGTATCTGTCAGGTTTCACAAGCTGTTCACTATGGCCTTGAACAAGGCCTGCAACCTAACCTTCATCCATTGTTACAGGTATTAGGATAGACCCAAGACTATAGGGTTTAGCCCAATACCAGCATAGCCGTGGGATGCCGTCGGTAAAAAAGATAATCACTATCACTTTGTTTGAGATGGAAGGGCCTGCAACCGTACTGCAAATCATCATCCACTGGGCCCGGGTGATGATATACCTACTACCCTCCAACAGGTCACCACCTGCGACGTTGAAGTCTACAAAAGCCTCCATTTCGGAGACCTGTAGAGTCGGGTGCTGGTATATAGTACTTGTTATCCAATTATTTATCATCCATCAGTGACCATCCTCACAAGGTGGACTCTGCGACAGCACCGGAACAAGCGAATGCCCGGCTCAGTGCCAAAAATAAAATGGATCAAAAAGGGACGTGAAGCAGGTCCAGAGTTCCCTACATGATCCAGTCCGACCCGAGTTCAAACTTGGTCCCAGTCAAACCTCATTGAACTCGTCGGGTTTCTATACAGCTCCAAACAACTCCAATCAAATCACAACTCCTGACCTGACCTAGAAAAATCAACTCCAATGAACTCCATTGCTATTAGCTATTAGCTGGGAGGCCATTGCTATTGGGTTGGAGGCATCAACTCCATGGATACCTCTCGGATACGCGACTCCAGGCGTCGACCTTCCCAAAGTGACGCTGGCTCCCACAGAGGCGGCGCGACGTTCGTTCTCGCGACGTTCTCCCATGGGTTTGGGCGCTTTGCGGGGCAAAAGAAGGGCCACCTTCTTCTGTAGCTTTTACATAGGGGTCTTTTGGGGTCGACCCTTTCAAAGAGTTCGGTGGAGCCAGTTTTCGGGTGTGAAATCCTCCGGAAAACAATGGTTGTTTGGTAACAAGCGTTTATTACATGCTGATTGGCCGCCTTTTTGGCGGATGTGTACTGTATACCTTACAAGACCAATGAAGTACTCTATTAAGTTCTCTATTCTCTTGCAACACCCAGGTGGTTAAGTGTTTCTTCTTTCCAAGCCAGCATTTTCTTCTGGGGCGGTTTAGGGACCACGAAGAAGTAGAAAGGAGTGAGCCAGTAAAGCAGTAGAGCCGTCAGGTTTCACAAGCAAATCACTATAAATGTTTGAACAAGGTGGGCTGCAATCTAAGAATCATCCATCATCATTGGGCCCAGGGATTGGGATACCCAATACTTTAACAAATTTTGTGGTTTTGTGTCAAACTTTGAAGAAATTCCTTCGTCCTTGCAGCCGGTCACGTGGTGTGAGAGTAGTGCGATATAGCTGGTAGATCAGTCAGCCGCTAGCTGGTAACATGATATATTGATGTGCCAGTGAAGGGCCTGGGGTCAACTCCTACGGAAAAAAAGGGGTATGACAAAGATGACGAGGAGTTGTATTGAGTTCCCTTCGGCCCCAGGCAACGACCAGCCCGAAAAGGGTCCGTACGTACTCACCTCCGTTCGACCATCTGAAGTACGGAGGTACCTGGATCCTATTGAGTTGTCAACAAATGAACCGCCATCATCCTGTCAACTTGACTGCTTGACTGCTAGCGGTGCTTGACTGCTACAGGCGCCGGCACTTGACATGCCGTTCACTCTGGGGCCATGGCTGAGGCTAGAGCGCAGCAATGTGGCTTGGAGTAGAGCCAGGGGGTGTGGTGGTTGATGCTCCCCAAAAGAAGGGTCGATGGCAAACATGGTCTTGTTCATTTGTTCATCGAAGCTTCTTTGGACTTTTTTCACTGGGAATTTTTTCACCTGTAGCAAGAAGTTCGACATGTTTTAGAAGGAAGCTTCCTTGGGTACATCAATTCAGGGACATCCCACATGGAGCAAAGGCCCCAAACCTCCAAGCTCTAAGTCTACAGCGCTGGCGGCTTCCTGCGCGCCAAGGAAGCGCCCTTGCTTCTTTCGGTCTTTTGCCTGCGGGGAACGACCAAAAGAATGGGAACGACCTGGGTTTGTAGTGTGCAATCCTTACCCTAAACCGCCAGTCGTATTTGCTGAGAGGGTGGGACTGGGGTGGGACTGGGAGGGTCCAGTCATACCGAACCTGAGGAGGTACGACTGGAGGTGTAGGGTTAGTAAAACAATGACCCTTGAACTCCAGTCGTTCCGGACTCGTTTCAGTTCAGTGGGACCGGGGCCCGGGTGCCAGCCCGGTCCAGTGGGCTCCGAACCTGAGCTTCGCTCACCTCCGAAGTCGGTTGGGACGGGTGGTGGGCTGTGATGAAAAGACGGTGGGCCAGGAACGGCCAGGACCCCCAGGGCCCCTAGCGCTTCAGGACGTTTGATCAAACCCATCTCTCTGCCGTCGCCGATCTGGGAAAACCACAGGCGCAGGGAACGGCAGGCGGCGTTTGGAGCTGCCTTCGAACAGCACTTGCATCCTTTGAGCCATGAGAAAGACGAAGCATCAAAACAGACTGGCCATTAAAACACACGATGTAGAGACCAATGGTACTTCCTGAAGACATCATGCGGTTTGTACTTCCGGGACACGGTCGGTCGACATCATACATCAAATTGGTTCAAGCATCCACCAACAGAGGTAGCCAGTGATCTGAACGAACGGACCCGGAAAACCAGGCGTACCCAACTACCGTCACCACGGTCGAAGGACGGTTCGCTCCCCACCTCTGCTGGCATGTTGAGCATCGTCCCACGGCCTCCAGGTGGTCTTCAACAACCTGGGCGGTTTCGGCCCCGGCCACCTCGACGAGCCTCACGAGCTGCGCTTGGGCCACGTCGCCGAAAGCGCGGAGAGCGCTGTGGATGTGGTGCCTTGGGATGGTGATGGATTGGGTGGGATGGAGGTTGACGCCTATATAGGTGGCATGAGGTGAATGATGCTTCATTCATTGGCACCATGGAATATATGGGATGGAGGGTTCCATGAACTGTTGCGTAGACCTTTTTTTAAACCTGAAATTGATGCGAAGTGGTGAATTCCCTTTCTAGAATCAGGGAAAAGCATGAAAAAACATGTATCCGAACTTCCTGATCAACAAATCGATTTGTGGATGTAGGATGTAGGACTTCGAACTGAACCACCTCGTTGGGTCGACTAAGGACATGCTGCAGGGCCATGTGACTACATCCAGCACCAGCAACAACACCCAGACACTCCGGTCGTCCCATGATGGCAGTCTCATGGGGTCGTGGGGACAAGAAGACGTGAATCACGATGAAGACGGACCCGGTCTTCCACGTCGCCAGGTCTTCCACGCCACCAGTGCGTATCATTCCACCTCTGTACAGCTCAACGGCGCCCAGCACGGCCATGCCGTGGTCAATGCCGGGCGGCCCGGGCGGCCGCGTGCCATCGGTGAGACGAAGCGAGAAACCCAGACCTGGTGAGGTGGAGACCTGGTGAAGACCTGGTGAGGTGGACAGGCCGCTTGGGACTGCCATGAAGTTAGTTCTTCCACAATCCGCTTGCGGCTTGGAGTCCAGAGTTTGGCCAACAACCCCAAGCGCACTGAAGACAGACGCAGGAACCAGTCTCCAGGAACCACCTCTGGACTACTCTTCCATGCTGCAGAGAAACAGACATAGAAGCGATATGTGTAGTAATTGCTATGTAAAATATTCAGTTAATTTCAGTTATGTTGAAAGCTTCAAGCCACTCCACAGGGCCGGGCGCTTTTACCCGTTTTGCCCCACAGCACGTTCTCCCGGATGTAGGACTTTGTGGAAGGCAGCTCACCTTCTCCAATCTTTGAAGATCAGGTGGCGCTCGAGTCTTCGGTGTCTCTGAAGATCTTGCTGGTGAAGCATGGCGAGGCCGGCAAGCGAGGCTTGAGGATCAACTGCGAGGCATGTTGAAAACACAACATCTTCCGACTCGCCTCTTGGATGTGGCTTAAGAAATGCTTGAAGTGGTGAGAACTTGCGAATATCTGTTTGCCAGTGGCTTTGGATTGCTTCGCAAATCTCCGATGTTGCTAGTGCTTGTGCCCTCATGCCCTTGACCCCAAATTCAAGCAACACTGTTGCAACATGTGGGCAACCTGCAGACATTGGGCGGTTAGTCGATTGCTTCTTGTCGTACTCCAAGTACCGAGAAGGAAGCCTCTAGACTGGAATGCCCAGAAACAGACCAAACTGGGATTCGTTGAGCATTTCAAAAAAAGGCACCATAGCTAGCATCCAGCGAGGGGCAGACCCAGCGAGGCCGGTGGATTGAGGATCGAACAGCGACCAGCAGAGCCGGACGTGCATCGACCAGAAGAGCACCCAGCATGCTCTAGGGCTCCAAGTGCCTTCTCGGACCCTCCTGGCACCCACCCCAGTCCCACCTTCTCAGCAGGTACTTGGAGCCCTAGGGATGTTCCAGCACTGTTGAGAACCATGTGACCCGGACGACCGTTTTTGTGAAGACGAGGACGTCCGCGTTCGTTGATCGACGAACCACGCGTTGGTCAACGCAAGCGCGGCGCAAAACATGACTGACATAGCCGTCCACATTACGTAACAGGGACGAACCTTTTGGAGTATCCTGTGGCGCTTGGTGCCAGGATACTCCGATCAAGCTTGATTGGCTCTTCCTTTGGATCTACGATGTGGAGGAGACCTGTGAGACCTGTGGGGAGTCCAGGCTGTGAGACATACAACATCATACGACCTAAGACACTGATTGAACCTTCAAGGGTCTTTAGGAGAAGAATCCTCCAGCAGCCCTGGTGGATTTCCGATGCTTGAGATGACCTGCTGGAGTTAGACGCCGTTGCTTGGTGGGATGCACCTTTGGACAGATACAGAACATCGAAGAACTCCCTGGAACCACAGTCCCAACCAGAAACAAATCGTTGTTCCAATATGGCTTGCTTGAAATCCTTAATATACATTAGGAAATGGCTGGGACTGTGGAAACATCCATTTCTTTCTGGTTGGGACTGGGGTTCCAGGTATATCTGTGGTCCAGCAGTGACTGACAGAAAGACAGTTTGGGAATGACGTTTTTTGGTGCAAAAAGAACAAACGACTCCAGAACCACCCAGTTTGGATGGTTTATCAACCCCCCATGAAGATGTAGTGTCCATCCAATAACCCCCCAAGCTGGGTGGTGCTGGCTTGTGAATCCTATTCTTCAAAAGGCATCAATCTGTATAGTCAAGGATCGGAGTAGTGCTAAGCAAACGAGACAGCCTGCAACATGATCCAACTAATTCCAACTACATATTATAGAAAATCATAGAAAAAACAATGAACATATATATGACCTTGTCCTGTCAAAGCACAGGCCAACATGTTCGAAGGGGTCTTGCTGGGTGTAGATGGATCTTGCTCCTTCAGCCACTTCACTACTTTAGTGGAACTTGCGAGCGTAACAGTCTTTGCCCCATCTCCGTGAAGTCTTTTTGCAGCCTTTTTGGGTCTTCCCAAAGGCTCATTGGATCCGGAGTCTTGACCCCACACAACTAGGGGAGCCTGGACCGAACCAACATGTAGTTGGTTCGGGTCCAGGGTCGCCTTTGCTTAAATGATCCCAGAAGTCTAGGGGTGTTTGCAGGGCTCACGCTTCCAGGGTTTGCCCAGCGTTCACGCCGAACACCGGGGTGCGCAAAGAGATCGAACGGAGGTCATAGCTGACACGTGACAGCCTTCTGACCCACGCTTTTTGTTCGGCAAAACACCTGTCCCTCCCCAGACGCGACCCGTGAGTTCACAGCCCTTGTCCCGGCTCCTGAACCCAACCCGATCGGGAATTGGTGAGAAACCCCAGACCCCGTGACCCGTCGTTGGGATTCGGGTTCCGACCCCCTCCATAGGTTTGGGGCCCGACTAGGGGTCGCGTCTGGGTCGCGATCTCACTGGGCCTGATCTCACACGAGCGCTTTTTTTCTCACGCCACGAAGCGCAGTGGAGAGTTCGGCACTCGGCTCGCGGTTCTTTTTACGGAATCAAGAGACGAACGGAATGAGTGGAGAGTTCCCGCATGAGGACCACATGTTGTTGCTTTTTTTTTTCAAAGTATGGGGTGGTCGAGGGGTCATTTTTTTCACTGGTCCATGTGACGTAGTCTATGAGGAGGTATGTAAATGAGTTGAATTCTCCACCAGACGTGGTGCGACAGAACCTCCATGGAACCTCAATAGATCTTCTGGAATTGGTCATCAGACATGGGTGAATCATGGTGGACCCATCGATTCTGGCTGACTGCACATAGACTCATGATTTAAAACAGAAACAAACACACTTGGATTGGGCTGACCTCTTCAGGCTTTGGGGGGTAAAAAGATCATCAAGTTGCGTCTCCATCAAAACGACTCGGCCTGCCAGCCGGGCAGCCGGCTTGAGGGGAAGGTTCGGTGCTTCGGCCTGGCCGACGGTCGGCGGAGTCTCGTCACGTCACGTCACGCAGGAGGAGGTTCCAGCGCTGTCGGGTGATGGTCAAGTCTACGTTTCGGGTGTGAAGGTGCGGGCGACAACGAAGTCTCGATGCGAGGTGAACGGGAAGGGAGAAGGGGGAGGGTTTGGGGGCGAGGTTTGGGGAGAAGAAGTATGAGGAAGTCGTAGCGTTTCTTTTTTCGAGTGAAAGAGGGGGGGAAGGGGACCGGAATGGAAAGAATGAATGGAGAGGAAGAGGATGCTGCAAGACAAGACTTTAGATGTCTTTAGATGGACAATTAAAGGTACAAGTATTCCGTGAACAGACATGGTTATTTTGTAAGACAACTATTTTGCTCACAGATTAAAGCTAAGGTTTGTAGATTGGGGATGATATGAGGTTGTAGTGATAGAGTGCTAGAAGCAGGGTTGGAGACCGTCCACGCTGCTCGAGACCGGTTTGTTTGGCTTGGACACGGTGTAGATGTCTCCAAGAGTGCTGCAGGAGAACCTGACATAGTGAGCGTTTCATGCTTCGTCCCCCATGGAGAACTTCGTCCCCAGTTGGTCTCTTTCTCCGGTTTCTGCGTTGGTCTCTGACTCCAAATTAGTACATGCATGAATACCATTCGGTGGCAGTTGAGAGGACAAGAAGTGATGTTGGGATGTTTCTGGCAGAAGCCGCAGCGTGCTAACGGGATGCCTAACATTTCAAGCTGCATACCGCTTAAAGCTATCATCATAGGTGATGTTTTGTATCAAACTTTGCTTTTTTCGCAGATTGACATCTCAAGCTGCTGGCCGTTGCACTGGCCGTCATCCGCAAAACCATCGGCGTGGCCCCTCACGTCCAATGGCATGGCTACTACATGGCTACTACAGCCGCACTATGGCTACCCCGTCTTGTCGTCTTCTCACCTCTTGCCGATCAAGATGGGTTAAACGGAGAAAGAAAAGCAAACCAAACAGTGGCTCTCGGCTCAGTCCCACGTGAGGAAGCACATGGCATGGCTATCCCATGATACTTCATGTATAGTTATATTGGGGTGGTTGAACAGGGGTCAATGTTGTAAATGTGCCAGTCTCATGAAGCTCCATGATGTCAACCACCCCAATACGATACATCTACATGGAGTCTTTTGGTATATTAAAGACATGTGCTCATCACTCAACTGGTCCGCGATGACCACGCTCAAAAAACGTGGGACTGATCTGGAGACGCCGCGTAGGACAGAACTTCCAAGTGTCTATCCCAGCTGTGTTGATGGATAGCCTAAATTTGCATCGATTGACCGATGCGGGTGGTGGATTTCCCGAGGGGTGAATCTAGCTACAAGACCCACCTGGATGATCCTATTTGGACCATCCTGTTTGGTCCTAGATCCAGGGACACCCAGATACCCAGCCAGGGACAACCAGACGGCATGGTCCATTACCCTGACACTCCATGGGACTGCCATAGGACTGCCGATCAGTTGGGGTGGTTTTGAGGGTCAATGTAGGCATATATGGCAGTCCCATGGAGTGTCTGGGTCCGTTCCCGGTCGCTTCGAACCTCCGCGGGGGGTCGCCCGTGACGTGACCAGCCCTCGCCACAGGCGACGCTGCGCCCAGAGGAGACGTCGCGGTGGGTCGCGGTGGAACGCTCCCAGGCGGAGGGGGACGAACCGGAGCGTGCGGCGCAGGAGGATGGGAGGGGTGGAGGGGAGGTGGAGTAGCGGACCGGGACGTGGAAAGGCGTGATGAAGATGTGGCACGAAATGTGGGAAGGGAAAGTAGATGAAGGTCAGATCTTTTGATGCACCTGCTGGTAGAGTAGTGCTGGAAGAGGATGAGTTGTAAAGCAGAAAGCCAGACATCACACCCCAGAATCGGTTTGTGCTGTGTTTAAGTATGTGGATTTATGCAAGTTGGAACTGTCAAGGCTTGGCCCGGCATGTATGTACCTAGAGCCCGGACATGACCTCTGTTTTGATAGGACGTTTGATATTTGTGTGCCTGGTTGGTGGTCCAACATTTTAGGTCACAAAAAGGCACCAGCAGGTGGCCACAGCAACCTTCCAGCGCACCGGGCATGCTCGATCGCCTTCGCCTTCGCGCTGCGATCAAAGGTGGCGATACCAGTAGTGTGAAGAATCGTCGTATAGAAGTCATGGACTGGCTCTTGCTGGTTTTAATTTGCTCAAGGTGTTTTCTATTTTCCCAAACTGGTTAAATCGACTGGCATGTGAAATATGTTTTTCCAACTTCCTTAGTTAAGCAAATCCAAGTCATCCTGTCTCGAAGTCCGGATAGCTTTTTTTTCGCCAATTGCAAATCCAGGTAAACACTGAAAATCAGGCAGTTGTTTTTTTTCCAAAACGATCCAGAATTTGTGGCGCATCCGCGAGGGCTACGAAGCCTTTGCCGTGCCAAAGGGCCCAGCTTTGCTTCTGGCCGTGGAGGGCAACGGACCGCAGGTCACATTGAGACCACGCACCAACGCAGGCGGGGCGACCCTGGCCGGCTTGGCCCATGGACCTTTTTCACTGTGTGGACTGTGGTTTTCAGTGAGCCCAGTGAAAGAGTCAGTGCGGGAGAAGAAAGACACATGTTGCTTTCGATGGTTTCCGGTCTCAACTGGAAGGCTCTCAGATGTCGTTTGCTTGGCGTTCACTTGGACGTATAAGATGCTCACAAGGTCTGGTTCTTCATACCAAACCCCATGCGCCCCATGGCTTGCCCTTGATCAACTAATCCCCAAAGATTCCATGTTGCATTGGCTTGCTTTGGAGTTGCTGGGATTGATTCTCACCATCCGTTCTTTGGACGAACCTAGTTGCGTCCCTCCATGGCCGTCAACCCGGGGTGTGCGACCAAGGCAACCCCGTAACAGATGTTTGCAACAAAAATCGTCAAGCTGGAGTTGAGGTAGCGATGCTTTAATGCACCCCCCCCACCGGTTTGCTCAATAACTCCTTGAGGAGGGTACTCAGTTAGCAATTATATGTGCTCTTCATTATTGTTATTCTCCGAGAATGTATTGAGAATGGAGAATGTATTGATGACACCCTACAAGTCAAAGACCTCATTTTACTGGGGATGGTCACACAAAAACAATACTTAAGGAGGTCAAGTCGACCAGGTTTGGACCTGGGTCAGACTGGACGAACGTAGGGAAATCAAAGTTGGAGAATGGAGATGGACATTGGCATGCTCCCGTGAGATGTTGCAAGATATGTTGCGGAAGAAGTCAAGGAGGGGCCCAGCATGGGAGGGCATGGGATGGCCTGGGAACATGAGGGGAGCGGGAAAGCACTCAAGGGTACCCTTCAAGTGAGGGGGGGGGGCCCTAGGGCCTGTTTGCCGTGATGACTTGCCTTGCACAAGCATGCAAAAGTGCCCAAAGAACTGCCATGCCTAAGAATTTGAGGCTCTACTTGCAATGTATCCTGGTGACCATCCCATGGGGAGTGTCCAAAGTCATTTGATCCATTTTTGACGGTCGAACATCAGAGACGCTCCCGTCCCAATTCCAATCCCACGGCTAGACGGTTGATGAACCAAACTCCCACATGAAGAGGTTCAAGAATCGAGAGTCTACATGATGGGTGCGTATCGGAATACTCAATTCGCCAAGCCCCCAGGCAGTTTGGCCGTCCAATCAACCAACGGGGGGTCACACTCTTTCAAGACACCCATCTCATCACACTTTTGGACTCCAGGCATGCAACGGTATACAAGCCTACAAAGGACAGATCTTGATCCAAGCTAAACCAGATTGTCATCCCCAAACATCCCCAAGCCATCAAAAAAAAAGCATGGCAAAACCCTGGCTCTTGCATGGTTTCCCGTTTCTCCATCCCAGCCACGGTGGCCTTCTTCCATTCTGAATTGGACGCTTCCCAGCCAGCGCCACGGCCAGGGAACACCCTGGATGCTCAAGGACGGAGCTTTTTCATCGCCCTGCGCACGCCCAACCTCGAGGACCGGGGGACAAGGACTGTGTTCCCAACACCAGCGACGGAACCTCGCAACCCGGTGGTCGGTGAGTGACGGTGAGGTGTTTCCACTGGAAGGGTTCTGATTGATCGTCTGGGGATCAGTTTGGGGGTATGGGACTGTTTCGTGTTCGCCACGTGGTGTTTCGTTTTTGACCCTCTTCTACAAGCTGTGAGATGTTTTCAGATGTTTTTTCTAGTATAGGATAGTACTCGTCGTATCGGTTTGATCTTGTTTTCTCCGGAATCAGCATGTGTTTATTTGTTTGCTCACGTTCTTTCGTATGCCCCTTTTACATCGTTGGGGTGCCTCAACCCATCTGCAATCGCGTCCGACATGGATTGTGTTTGGGTGATGCCCAAGGATGCCCATTGTCGAGAGCGTGGACTTCTTAGGACCTACGGGTGTATATTTTAAGAGAATGACCCCCGACCGATGGGTAGACTGGTCTAGTTTCCCTCTTGAGGAGGTCGAACTGGGAGGTCTCCCTACTTTGATACACACCCATGTGATTTGGCTCACTGTGAAGTGTTCTTGTGAACCTGGCACTGGTCCGCGTGTTTGAACACCCAGAGCTTGGTGCCTATTTTAACGCCTTTTATATGTCATGGCCGTCATGGCTTTGGGTGCCCTAAACCCTGGAGTTGAGGTGTTCAATGCTTAAAAACCATGAGGACGGCACCATCAAATGCAAAAAGTTCACCTGTCGCGTTCGCGGCGCGCAACGGCGGCGGCCCTGTGCTTCGCCAGATCTTGAGCACCACGCATCCAGTGGCGCGATTGGCACCAGTGGTGATAGGCGGGGGAAGAAAGAGCTTTCCCGATCACGGGGTCAGATTGGGGCCCCACTATCCGCGTGGGGCTTCTTCTAGCCCTGGAAAGCCCAGTCCCAACAGAAACCGTTCTGGAGTTTTCCGCAGGTGTCAGCCACTTGCTATGTGAAGGATCTCCAGCAAGCCACATCCCAGAAACTCCATGTATGGATATGTAACTATGTATGGTATATATGCCTACATTGACCCCTGAAACCACCCCAATGTACAGTAGGTAAATATGCCATACATGAAATTCGGCTTGAGACTGGGTGTCCGTTTTCGACCACTCAGACACGTGGGGTTGCAGGCACGGTGTCCAAACCGACGAAGGAAGAAGGGTTGATGTCTGGCCAGACCGTGGATTGTTCTATAAAATCCTATGTCAGGCTTGGTTTAAGATGAATGAAGTATATCATCAACACAAGTCTAGAGTCGAGTCTACATTCCACGGTAGAACACAAACGATCCCATTCATGATCGTGGTGGTGGTTTGGCTGATCAGCTGGGTGAGTGAAACACCCCATCAAGGATGCGAGAATGCGCTTGGAACGAGCTGTTGTTCCTGAGCTGTCGGACGAGCTGTCGTTGCTGTGTTTGTCGACTCTACTGAAGTGAATAGGAGGATATTGTTCATAAACATTCAAGAAGACCCGTAGCCATTGTTGCTGGCGTCTCGACAGACATCAGATCAGATGTTTGCCAAATTTGATCATGGGGACGTTTCACTTCTCGAGATACCTGGTATCTCCTTATCTCCACTCCACTCTAAAAGGAAAACACACACAACAGAAAAAAAGGGTGGTCGTGACAACACAATTCAATATCAGCATACATAGACCAACAAGTCATATAAGTGTTATATAAGTTGTTGCCCAAAGACCCTACCACTTCTTTTTGGAATTGTTGCCCTAGGATTCCAGCTGCCAATTGATTTACTAACCCGAATCCCGCAGCAACCCTTGTTTGGGCATAGCAACCACTGGTTTTGGGCGTGCTTGGAGGGTTTACTCAAAGGATCCAACCTTCGCTGGAATCCCGGCGACCGTGGCGTAGATGTCAGGAACACAAAGAGCTTTGTTACTTCAAGAAATCTGAGATCTTCGAGATGAGTCCACCCTTCTTCATGGAAAATCATGTCTATTATATGTTTGGAACATGTTCATGGTCTGGCAACAGCAAACATCCCAGACGATCCTTTTCTTTGTTTACAGTCCGAACATCCAACAAGCAATCAAACCCGCTGTCCAAACCAAGGGCCCGGCCGCTCGTCGACGCCCGTGCCACCATCCGGTCGTGTCCTCCGGGACTGAAAGACTCGATCGGTCACGAGGCGAAGTCACGAGGCTCGTCCCTCGTTCGAGGTCACGAGGCTCGTCCGGGCTCGTCCGGTCACGATCGAACGAAGGTCCTGGCTGGTGACTGGTGTAAAATCCTCGTATACAGTTGTTGTGACTGGTGACTGACATTTGTGAGGTTGTTCGGTGAGAACCATTGCTATATCCCTACACCTCCAGTCATACCTCCTCAGAAGGTATGACTGGACCCTCCTGGCACCCACCCCAGTCCCACCGAACCGAAACGAAGGTACGACTGGAGGCCAAACGGGTATAGAATGTCCTACCTGGACCTTCCAACTACCAACAATTTCTGGTCGTTTTGGTTTTCTGGTCGTTTTGGTCGTTTTGTTTTGGTGATGGAAGACCCAGTATATATTTTGACCGACATTCCGTCAAACTTCCTTGACTTAGCTCACCGAGTCAGACCTTTCTATGAGTCTCTTCACTCCCAAAGCAGGTAGGGATCCAGTCGTACCTTCTCAGGTACGGTGAGGAAGGAGACACTCTCATGTAGGTTTGGAGGGTCCAAGTACCTTCTGAGAAGGTACGACTGGATCCCTAGAAATTAAACTGATGGTGGGCCAAGAATCCTTGAGGTCCGTCCATGAACGGCCCCGGTCACGACCTTCTGCGAGGCGATGCCACCGCGCCGGAGCTCGTCACGAGCACCACGACGACCTCGTCCCCCGAGAGACCGAGCACGACGACCGAGCAGCAACGGGTGGTTCAGTCACGCGTCGGGCGGCCACCGGAGGCGCGGGGTGGTCGGGGATCAAGCTTTTTGAGAGGGTGAGAGGGTGTGGTGCTTGAAATGGTGGTATTTTATGGTTTTTTTGGTCTATACGTGTTGCTTATGAGAATAGTGTATTATGTGACAAATTATGTGGTACATGAACAACATGACAACAACATGGAGGTTTTTTTGAGTGTCATCCACATGAATTTATATACTTGTTGCTAGAGTGCATCTCATCAATTACCAGTATAGATCGGTCAGAGACTAAGAGACTATGAGAGTTACAGTATGTTACAGTATTGGCCTTGACAAACCGTTATCATCCATATACACATTTTTTGTTGATTCAAACGGCGTTGTCCATTGTTCCCGAGTGAAGATGGCAGAAGTGACTCCAACATACTCCAACTGTTTTTGTCCAATCTCGAGAAGTGACTCCAATCTTCAGATCTACCAGTAGCAATAACCGTATTCTGCCAAGTTGATTGAGCAGGTACCTGGCTGCTCATTTGGACCATTTTGGACCACGCTTCCGGAACGAATCTTTAGGCCTAAATTGGAAGGTCGGATCCAATGTGGGAAGACAAGCAAGTTGTTGGATGATTTAGCAGGTGATTTAGCAGTATGTTCACTTCGGATCAACATCCCTAGGGCTCGAAGATGCTCCAGTCGTACCGAACCTGAGAAATTGAGACTGGGGGCCCGGGTGCCAGGAGGGTCCAAACTCAGGATGTACTTGGAGCCCTAGGGCATCTACTGGAACAAACCATTTATATGTTGTGTAAGTTGAACACCAGCCTTTGGCCAAGGGTCGTTGACCTTCCGCTGCTCCATTGTTCCACACGGGTCAGGCACATTGGATACGACAGCCTTTGGTACAGGGCTTCTTGGTGTTGAAGGATCACGTGGGTTGCAACGTGGGTTGGGATATCCTGATGGATTCCTCATCTACCGCAGTGACCGTGGGGAATGATATACTTCAGATCGGTGGGAACGAGCCAAAATCCACGAGTGTCCTGTTCGCCAGATGGTCAGCTGAGTCAGCTGGCCTCTGTTTCCGATCTTCAGGCAGGTTCAATTCTCGAATAAGTGACTGTTCCACATGTGGAAAGGTTGAACTTCTTTCCCTCCCAGGTTGAGGGTCAGACTTTTGGGAACGTGAAGAAGGCTTCATATCAGTAGGAAGGTGGTGATTGAAATGAAGAACAGCAAGAAGTGGGATCTCAAGAATTGCTCCCAGAGTCCGAACTCATGCGACGGTGTTAAGACGACCGTGAAAGGCGACGTGCTGAAATCGGGGAAGTTTGGGCGCTTCTTTCGGTGAAGGATGTCAGTGTATCTTCAACATGTGAGAAGAAGGTGCTGACAAGTGGACATGAAGCAACAACTTTTATAAGATAATCTAATATAAACTGGTTCTTTTTGGAGCGAACAAGGCTCAAGCCATCATAATCCACATGCCCATTGGGTAACCTTCACGTCTTTGCTCTGATCCAAGATACCAAGGCTACCTGGGCACTTACTTGGCCTTACAACCGAGCCAGGCGAGAGATTTGGATCGACGCTGAGAGTCAAAGAGCTGAGTTGGTGTGCAAGCTGGCCACGGTGTGCCATGGTGTGCCCCATCTCTCAATCACCCAGTCCCAAACTCCAGTCCCTCAACATTTAGACACCATACCCTAGGGCTCCAAGTACCTCCTCAGAAGGTATTTGGACCCTCCAAATCCCACCTCAAACACCTTCTTAGAAGGTACTTGGAGCCCTAGGGATATGCATGTTCACCTTTTCTGTCTCACTCTCTCTCTCTCTCTACTTCCCACACCTTCCCTTTTTCCATCCAATCTCCCATCCCCACCTCCTGGTCCCCCCCTCCTCGCCCCCTTCCACCACCAGGTGCTGGTGAACAACCTCGCGGGCGCCGGGCCCGACCACTCCGCCTCCGACCTGTCGGGCCCGGCGGCGCCGGAGCTGCGCTGGCGCGCGGCCACGTACCAGGGGACGCCGGTGGATGTGGTACCTGGGACTCAGGGACTGGTTGGGAGGTGGTTTGGGAGACCGAGTCCGCCCAGGATGGTGGAAAGGATGCCGACTGGGATGGTGTGGTGTTTTTTCAGGAGCGAGATGGTGGTTTGAAGGACTCTGGACAGAGTTTGGGGTGTCTAGGGTTACCTAGTGTTTTTGGTTCCATCAATTTTTGGACCCGCTTTAGAGGATTGCTATATATAATACATTATAATACAGCACCTTGCAGTGAAGGACTTCCAGCGTCGCGAAGTTGTCCACAGCCAACCAGCTGGGAGACAAGTGTTTGCACGAGGCCGCGGCAGTCGTGCCTCAATCCTCCTGAAAGACCAACACCAGTTTGCCCAGCTCTTTTAATGATGTGTTATTCTTATGTACATGTAATCTATAACACAGAAGAGGAAAGGGGGAAAAGGAATAGGAAAGGGAAGAACAGAAGAAAGAGGAACATTAATAAAGGAATGTGACATGGAAATAACAACACACAGTGCAAGTGTGTTGCACTGGGAAATTTAATATCTAGTGAAGATCGACCCCCTACCAGCAGAATTTGCAAATTCGCCAAGGCACATCCACATGTGAAGTTCATATCGAATCATCATAGCCATAGCCTTACCTTCCAAAATGTGCCTGAGCGACTCCCCAAAGTCTTTCTATTCTAATCTGAACTCCTGAACCCAAGAAAGCAGTGAAAGAAAGAATAAACCACTTCTGGGCACGAGAATTCACACCCTTCTTACCTGGTTCACACCCAGAATTCCGGGTAAAAGTATCTGAACCACTTCTGAGAGGGGCGCAGCTACCCGGTGCCATACCTTCTTACCCGCTCTTACACACCGAGCTGCACCGAGGTGCTTCGCAGTATCTCCAGCTACCGTCCCTCTGACGTCGCACTCAATGGCCGTGAAGGGCTCCGGCGCCCGGCGGCCACGGTGAACGTGGGGGGCGCCCAGGGAAGGTAGAAGAGGATGAGGATCCGGAGGGTTCCCGGGTTCGGAGTGCACCTGCTTCTGATCTAATCTGAGGTCTTTTTAGAGTTTTTTGTAGAGTTCTGACCTATACGACCTGACTCCCAGGTGCTTTTGGGAGGTTCTGGGCGTTGTTGAGATTGTTTTGGGAGTGGACATGCAAGGTGTTCTTTGCCTACCTACATTTGAGGATAGATAGGATAAATTCAGGACACATATTCCAATGATTTCCAATGCCATGGATTGTTGGGGATGGCTTCCCCTTGGAATCTCTGGCACTAGCCAAAGCATTGCCCCATCAAGGAGATGTAGCTAACTCTTGAGTCGTGTTTTTTGTACTACCCAGACGCTCCAAACAGCCCGACCGGTCCCTCAATACCTAGGGAATTGAGAGAGACCCCAGACATCCCCAGACCCCTCCATATGAGGGTCCGACCCCTCCATACGAGGGCCCATGAGCGTTTGGGTACCTTCTCAGGTTGGGTACCACTAAACCCTCTTGGCACCTATACAGCATACCAGTGTTTGCCTCCCGACCGTACCTCAGAGGGTGCCAGTGGAACTGGGGTGTTTTGTTTTGGCTAACGTAGAGAGAAATCACGGCAGACAATGCGTCTTCGGGGGGCCGAAATTCTGGACGAAGGGTCAGATGAGGAGAACTTGACGTCAGAACTTGATGCGGAACTTGAGAAGACAGAACATCAGAGGGAGAACCATTGACTTGATCTTTGCTTCGTGGATAACAATTGACTTGATCTTTAC